ATGTCCTGGAAAAGTGGGGGAAAACTTCCCCTGGGTTTGGGTGTGGAAGGGAGGGAGTTCCAGGCTGGGGTAGGAGACACAGGGCGGGCAAAGGGGGATGTTTAACACCCAGAGGCTCTTCCTCAAAGTCATAAAATCCCAGGATGGGTTGGGTTGGGAGAACCTTAAATCTCCTCCTGTTCCCACCCCCTTCCACTCTCCCAGGTTGCTCCAAACCCCTCCAGCCTGGCCCAAAACAACCCCTGAAGGTTTTGAGCTGCTGGATGCTGCAGCCCTCCCGTCCTGGGAGGTTTGGAGGAGCAGGGCCTGTCCAATATCCATGTTTTCCCCATTTTCCCTGTCCTTCAGTCCAGCAGCCCAGTCCTCCCCCCTGTGCCCTGCCTAGGTGTGGAACTCCAGCCCTTCCAGCCTCAAACCTCTCTCCTTAAATTCCCCCAGGTTTTCATTTCCTGCTGGTGTTTTAGCCTCGTCCCCAGCTCAGCTCAGCACAGAGGCTGCTCCAGGGTCTCCACCAACTCTGACACCTCATTTCTCCTGCCAGAAGTGACTCCTTTGGCTTTATCTTCCCTGGGAGTCTCTGGGAACAGGAAAACAAGTCCAGAAGTAGCCAATTTAATGAAGGAGAAATCACCCAGATCAGTGATTTTCTGGGGGGGAAAAAAGGGAACCTTTGCACTGCCATGCCAAATTGAAGGGTTGGTTTTGCTGTCCCAGCTGATTCCTGAAGAACCAGCTTCCAGGTGCTGTAACAGAGCCAGACATTTGGGACATCCCTGGAGCATGACCCTCTTCCCATGGGGCAAAACAGCACAGCTACACTAAAATCACTGCTCAGGCCCTTGTTGAGAGTTTAATGCCACTGGAGTCTTGAGCTCTTCAAAAATAATATATTTGGTATTTTGTTTTTCTCAATGACTTTTTCTTCCTGGGGCTCCAGTTCCTGGCAATACTTTTATAAATTGTGAATATAGTAAATATTCAACCCACAGCACTAACAAGCTCTGAATGCAGCACAACTCTCCCAAATAATACCAAGCTGGAAAAAAAAAAAAAAAAGGAAAAGAAAAACCCTATCAAATGTATTCAGCTGGAATATCTCACCCAGAGAGCTATTCTCCCAGAATATTTGGGGCAAGCACAGTGTCATAAATCTTAGTGCTATTAATCCATGGACTCATCCATCTCTGTTCAGCTCCATAAAAGCAATAACCTTGTCACTGTAGGAAGGAAGATTGGGCTTTTAATTGCATATAGATTTCAGGAGAGTTCTTATCTCTTAGTCCAATTTGTAGCTTCAGATACGTGTCTTTGCTTCCCTTGCTCCAAATCCATGCAAATCTGCTCTCACACCCTTAGAAATGGTGCTGGAGCTCAGCAAGAACCCCCAGAGAGCTGTGCTGGCAGAAAATGCAGCCAGGCTTTGCAGCCTTGGCTTTGGTGGACAAGCCTGTGTTTAATCAGCTCCTCTAAGATGTGTTTGTCAGAGGATGATCAAATTTATGGAGACAAAAGCACATCAGTCACTGATCAGGATTGCCCTGACTTGGCTCTACAGGTGCTACCAAAACCATCCTTTGGCCTGAAGTTTGTTCTCAGTGAAGGTAAAACAGCAGGTGGGAGGGGGTTGTGTTCCCTCCCTCCCCAGGGACAGCAGCAGGAGGCAAGGCTGGGTTTGCTCACAGGGCAGGAGATGTGCAGCCTCTGGCTTCTGTGTCAGTTCTTCAGCCAGAAGAATTCCAGAGGCTCAGAGCTCCTGGGTGCTGTCTCATCAGCCAAACCAGTGAGCCCAGTTCAGCCCAGCCAGTGCTGGACTGCTCCTCCCAGCCTGCAGCCACCGGGCTCCTCCCAGAGCTGCTCCTTCCAGCAGCTCCTGCTCCTCTGGGCATGGATTGCAGAGCCCAGTTCACACCTTTCAGGGTGGCAGGTGCCCCTGCAGTGCCCAGTGTGGGGGGCAGATGTGTTTGGGGTGAGGGGCAGCCCATGGACCGAGTTTCCCCTTCCCTTTGCACCACAGACCGGGGACTTGGCACAGGCACAGGGGGGTTTGTCCTTTGTGTGTGGACACTGGGACAGAACAGCCCTGGGACATGATGAGCTGCCACCAAGGCATTGGGGCATCCTGGGGGTGCTTCTGGATCTCACTTTGTTCGCCAAGACCAAGAAATAATTAGGGTATTCTTGTTTTTTTTTTTAGCCTGCAGAGGAAAGCCTGGAAATGGGAACTTTGTCCTCAGTAAAGACCCAGAGATTTCCCCTTGGGCTGTTTAGGTCCATGTCCCAGGACAGGGAATGACATAATCATAGAATGCTTTGGGTTGGAAGGGACCTTAAAGCCCATCCAGTCCCACCTCCTCCATGGGCAGGGACACCTCCCACTAGCCCAGGTTGCTCCAAGCCCCATCCAACCTGGCCTTGGACACTTCCAGGGATCCAGGGGCAGCCACAGCTTCTCTGGGCAACCTGTGCCAGGGCCTCCCCACCCTCACAGCCAAGAATCTCTTCCCAATATCCCACCTAACCCTGCTCTGGCAGTGGGAAGCCATTCCCTTTGTCCTGTCACTCCAGGCCCTTGGAAATAGTCTTTTCTCAGTCTTTCCTGTAGCTCCTTCAGGCACTGCAAGACCACAATGAGGTCACCCCAAAGCTTCTCCTCTCCAGGCTGAACAATCCCAACTCTCCAGCCTTTCCTCCCAGCAGAGCTGCCCCATCCCTCTGACCATCTTGGTGCCTCCTCTGGACTCTCCCCAGCAAGTCAGAGCCCAAGCCCCAAGTTCTCCCTGGGCAGGAGGAGCAGCTCCAGGGCTGGGGGTGCAGCTTCTCCCAGCACAGGATCCTCACGATCCCCGAGGTACCACAGGAGATGAGGCCCTTTCCAGCCACAGCCATGGGACAGTGTCACAGCAGGACTGGTCACACCATGGACACGGGAGCAGTGTCCCAGCAGGAGTGGCCACACCACAGCCATGGGACAGTGTCACAGCAGGAGTGGTCACAGCACAGACGGGCTCAGTGAGAAAGGATTCTCCCCTTTGGAATGTTTTTTTTTTTTTTCCAGTGACATTCCCTGCATTGAAATATTCCATCCTGCGAGTTTTGGGCTGAGGGAAATGAAAAGTGATGCTGGAAGATTAGAAACCTTCCAAGGGCAGGAATTCCTGGATCCAGGTCTGCCTCAGCTCCTGCCCACACTCTTGTCATCTACACACATCCGAGTGTAGCCCAGGGAGAACCGGCTCAGGGAATTTGTTGGAGAATTTGTGTTGCATAAAAATAAAATGTAACTCTCCAAGCTGCTTCCTTGGGATGCTTTTAGTTCTAACACAGCCCTCAACCTGCATTTCAGTTTTTCCTGGGGGTTTTCCCTCCGTTTCCATCCCCCTGTGTACCTTCAGCTCGCCACCACTTGTGTGTTTCCTATCTAAATTAAACATTCCCGTGCTTTTCAGCCCCTTTCCAGTGGAGCTGAGAACATACCAGCAATTTTTTTCCCCCTCCTAAGAACAATTAAGTATTTAGAAGTGTTTAATCTCTGCCTTGAAAGTGAGCTCTGCTCCTCAGAGAGCTCCCAGCAAAGGAGCTCTGACTTCAGCACCTCACTGACTTGGGGTCCCCTGATGCTTCTCCACCTGATTTTCTGGGATTTTGGCTCAGTACGTGACTAACAGGAAAACAACACACCCTAATCTTTTATTTTTATCCTCAATTCCCTGTATTTGTCCATCCTCCTCCCAAGAAAGAACCCACAGGACCCAAAGCTGAGGGGAGTTTAGCTGAGCAGGAAGGTTGGAGATGTTGGTCATGACAAGGACAGAACAAATGGAAACAGCTGGAAACAGTGATTTTGGTCTTTAAGATTTTTCTTTTTTAATATTCACGTAAAAAAATGACCAACAAAACAAACAAGCCAAAAAATAAATCCAGCATGCAAAAAATAAAAAAAAAGGCAGAAAAATCTAAGTTTATACTGAGAGTGGAGATAAAACCATGGAAAAGAGTGTCAAGGTTTTTAAGATAGAACAGGATTTACCTCTGCAAAACTGAATTGTTCTCCTTTAAAAACAGATCCTTCAAACAAGCCCATCAGTAGTAGGAAAGGGAGGGTGAGCCCTGACATCCAGCAGGGATTTATCCCAGGTGGCAGGAGGGGCCAATGTCCAGCCTGAGAGGGACCAAGAGCTCTTCATCCAAGAGCTGGATGGAAGCTCTTCCCACCTCTCTCCAGCCATGAGCTCCCAGGTGTTCCCTCCTCCTGCTGACCTTCCCCAGGGGCAGCAGCTTCCCCCCTCCTGGACCTTGCTGGGATTTGCCTCTGGGATGGTGGCTGTGGGGACCTGGGGGTTGGGGACAGGGGATGGTCCTGGAGCAGGGATGGACGTGGAGGTGGTGGACCCAGACTGTGCCCACTGGGAGCACAGCCTGCCCCCTCTATCCCTGCCAGCCACCAGAGGTGCCACCAGCCTGGTGGCAGCTTCACCCACCAAAGGCCCAGCTCTGGAGGGACGTTCAGCTCCATTCTGAACCCTCCAGAACATCAAACCAACACCAGCATTTCACCAAAACCATTGTGCCAGTGGACTCCTGCAGAGAACCAATAACCATGACAAGTGGTGCCAAAACCTCCTGCAGGTGCCCACCAAAGTGGCCACTTGGGAGGGTTTGGAGCCCTTTTTTCTCTCCAACTCATCCCTTTGCTCTGCTCACGGGCACTTGGCAGAGCTTTGTTAGGGTGTGCTCTGGAGCCAGGTGACAGCACAGAGCTCTGCCCTCCCACCTCAGCTCTCACATCCCTTCCTCTGACCCCTTCAAATCAACTCCCTCTCTGATGGCTTGGCTGGAGGAGGCAACATCCCACCAAGGAGTTAATCTTCACATCACTGGGGGAAGAATTAACACAAGCAAGGTCCTGGTGTCGGTGTGGAGTTAAATATCTAATGCTCCCTGGGATTTCTGCTCCAAATGTAACTGTAATTAATTCTAAATGAGAAACTCTCCTGGCCTCATTAAAGATGACATCTGCAGGAACACTGGTCACACACAGAGGTTTGGAGCTGTTACAGCAAAGATCTGTTGTAGGAATAACAATGGATTATTCATATTCCCTGGAGAGATCAGAAGAAATAAATACCCTTTGGTATCACGGGTTACAGCAAACGTCTAAGGAACATAAATCAGATTAAATCTCCCAGCAGATCAGTACAACCAGCAAAGCAAAGGTGTGACTGAGCAGGAACAGTCAGCAGGGAGGAGAATTCCATGACTGTGGGGTCTGTTTGCATTGGGTACATCCAAAGGGACACGGCTGAATTTACTTCAAATACACAGCTATTATTAAAGGGGAATTTTCACTATTGGAATAACTGGGAAAGGGCACAAGGCACCGCTCCTGGATATCAGTTTATACATAAAACAGGAGCAAAATGTTCTACTCTGAGAGCACCAGAAGGCAGTGTTTTGTTACAGACCTCCTCGTGGCAGGCAGTCCAATAAAACTGATGTCCGGGATGCAACCTCAGAGTAGAAAACACGACAGAAAACACAATCCTGTTCACAGACTGCTTTGGTTGCTGCACTTTTTGCTTCTGAAGTTACAAATACACGAGAGAGCACAAGCTGAGCCCAGAAGGTCTGCTAGACATAGTCGTGTTTGGAAGGGTAGGAGCGTCTTCCCTCCTCACTCCGAGGAGCTTCTTCATAGCCTGGGCCCTTCCTGGTCTTTGGGTCGGGCTCATAGCCCTTGTAGGGCCCTGTTCTGTAGGAGATGTTCGGTCCTGACGCGTTGTAGGACACGGCTTTGTACCTGGAAGAGACACAAAAGGTTCCATCAGGCACTGGGGGGTCTGGGACCACCCAACCTGGCACCCTCTGTTCCTGTTTGCTGCTGGATTTTAGGCAACTTCATCATCACTTGGAGACACTCAGTGACCTCAAAACCATCCACTCATGGACAGACTGCAAGCCCCTTTCCTGGTTTTTCATGAACTTATGATTCCCTTCTCATCAGTAATTCCTTGGTTGAGTGAAGACCCACGTACAAGAACCAGCTGTGTAGGCGTACAAAGTTCTCCCTGATGTGGCTGCCCCATCCCTGGAAGTGTTCCAGGCTGGGTTGGATGGGGTTTGGAGCAACCTGGTCTGGTGGGAGGTGTCCCACATGGCAGGGGGTTGGAATTAGATGGTCTTTAAGGTTCCTTTCGACCCAAACCACTCTATGATTCTGCATAAATCACAGGGGTCACCTGATGCAATCCCCACCTTCTAATGATCTGCTGTGCACCTTGCAAATGAAGCTGCAATTAATGGGCCTGACTTCACCAGCACATTGCAAAGTTTAGATTTTAAGGTCTCTCTCCTGCTCTATTTGTTTGCAAGTCACACAGTCAGGGAAGGCAAATGGTCCCTTTTGACCCAAAAACGGCAAATAAATAAACATGTATTGGTGGAGTTGATGTAGTGCTGGGTTAATGGTGGGACCGGATGGTCTTTTCCAACCTAAATGATTCTGTGATTCCACCATCACAGTAACTGTTGTGATGGGGATCTCACAGACACGTCCTGGGCTGGTTGGGTGCTACCCCAACAGCCAAGGTTTCAGGCAGCACCTTCCCACGTGTCCCACAGCTCAGCTTACCGGGATTCCTCTGGAATGAGCCCTCTGCAAGCCAGGCACATCATGATGCCCCCCACGAGGGCCAGGCCGCCGGCCACCCACCCCACGAAGAGGGCTGAGCCAAAGGTGTACCTGTGGGACAGAGACTGCTCAGGGCTGGGCAGGGGCCAGGCTGCTCCCCCAGAACACACCGAGCCTTGTCATCCTCCCCCAGCCCCGCAGGAGTGCCCAGAAGTCCCTCAATGGGCTCCCCACCTCCTCCTTGAGCTGCAGGAGCAGAGACATCCCAGCCAACGTCTCCAGAGCAGGTAAGAGACTTTATCTCCCAAGGGACTGAATCTTCCCAGTCCTGTGACCATCCCAACGTCCTCCCAGATGGACCTTTCCTCTGGCTGCAGCCCTGAGGGAGATCCTCACCATGGAGCCCCCTGAGCCAGCTGCCCACCCACCTGTTCTGGACGTTCTGCATCCCCTGGAACATGTTGGTGGTGGACATCCAGAAGTTTGTGACCAGCATGTTGGCAAACACGGACACGCCGGTGATGGCACACAGGCCTGGACAGGAGAGAGGGACACACTGAGACCCACACGGTTCAAAAGTCACCTGTGGCCTTGGGGAAGCACCTTCCAGCTCTGGAAAGCTGGGTGAGACACTGCTCTATGTCCTTCAGCAGCACAACACGTTACACTTTTCTGCCAGGATTTCCTTGCATTTACAATTCCGACAGCAGGAATGCAATGTCGCCCCCCACAATCCCAAATCATCCCAGCAGGAATCTTCCTCCTGATGTGTTTTCTCACAGAAAATGAGTTTAACAAACAGATCATTTCAGCAGCTGAAAATATCCAATGTTAAAGGTTTGTTTTACAGTGACAAATGTGGACAAAAGGTTCCCTGCCAGAAATAATTTTTTTTGAGTGGAAAACAGGTTCTCTGCCCTGTGGAAGAGGAGATACATTGATTCACAACCTGCTCATTGCCAGGTCTGGAAGCCCAGCCTCAAGAGGTGGGACCTTCTTCCATCCATGTGCACAAGGGCTCAGGGTGATGCCCAGCCTTGAGGAGCCTGGCAGGGATGCCAATCCCCTGTTTTCCTTAGCAGAGGGATTCACAGGACACTTGAACATGGAATCCCTGGATGGTTTAGATTGGAAGGGACCTTAAAGCTCCTCTCATTCCACCCCCTGCCATGGGCAGGGACACCTTTCACTGGACCAGGTTGTTCCAAGCCCCGTCCAACCTGTCCTGGGACACTGTGGAAGGAGGAACAAAACAAAACTAAGTGTCATGTGAGGATTTTTGGCCCAGATATGTGGACTCCAGATCTCCTGGGCATCCAAAGTCCTATTTATCATTCCTACACCCACCAAGACCTCTGGGTCTTTCCCAAAACAATTCCTCACAGCACTGGGGAGGTCTGAGCAAACCTTTAACACTTCTCCCCCTTGTTTGGGGAAGAAACAACCTCCAGCTGGCAGAGGTGTGACCAAGGGCCAGCTCCACCAGGCACGTGGGGGCCCAGCTCCTCACCAGCTGAGCCTGGGGACCTTGTTTGGAAATGGGTGAAGGCAACCAAGGGATGTCCCATCCCAGGAGCCGGTCACATCTTCAGGAACACGAGTGGGATTTTCTAATTGCCCAAATTCTCAACCCACTGACTCAAAGGAGTAAAACCAACCAGCCTGGTCCACTGGAAGGTGTCCCTGCCCATGGCAAGGGTTTGGAATGAGATGGTCTTTAAGGTCCCTTCTGATCCAAACCATTCTGTGATTCCGTGATTCTGAAGTGACAGTTTTAACGTGCAAAATTAAAGCTGTTTTGCACAATGTTGTTCCTCTTTCCAACTTGCAATTGTGAAATACCTTTAACTTGTGTTGTATGTCTCATGTCCCAGCAAAAGTTAAGTGTTGGGATTTTAAGGATTTTAGATAGGGGCATTCTCCTTCCATTCATTAGGATATGGATTTGATTTGATTACTATCTCAGAAAAAAAGAAAGTAGGAAAACATGTAAGAGATGTGTTAAACATTTAAAATGAGGTAGTTGGGCAACACTGGGCATTCCTGCAGCCCTCCTGATAACCCAAGGTATTTAAAATTACAAGCTGAGCTATGAAACCCCTAAAATTATTCCTAAAATTATTATGTATAAAGCCTGAAACTCATTAAAAATATGATACATAAATAAAGGATAAAGTAGTACATGAAAACAACATACATATAACAAATTAAGAGAGATGTTTTCCTTTCTATCTGTGGGCTTTTTTGCCAAGTCTTCCTTGTTCTGTCCATACAAATTTCTGGTTTCTGGCGTGTTTTTTTTACTAAGCAGAGGTAGAAACCACTTGACCCCAGGAGGCCGAGCTGGAGGACAGATGCCAAGAACTCCGTGAGAGCACCAACGCTTTGGGTGGCTCCAGAGCAGCTGTGTGGAGACCTGGCCACCCTCAATTCCAGGCACAGGGAAAACGGGACACCACCCACTTACCAGCAACAATGAACATGATGCCAGAGGTCAGAGTCATGTTGGCTTTTGCAGAGTCCTCCATGGTCCCGATGCGGATGCACTTGAGGGCAAAGATGCAGACGAGGAGGCCGAGGATGCCCAGGACGATGCCCACGATCATGAGTGCCCTCACAGCCTGGAACATGGCTATGGGACAGAGGGAGACACAAGCAGTGACTGACAAGAGACTTGCCAGAGCCTGGGAGCATTTTAAAGGCTGGTTCTGTCTGAAAAGATAAGTTCTAAGGAAGAAAACACTCCAGTGTAAACCCAGCGCCCGTTTGCCGAGGTTATCTCTGGAACAGGCTCTCTGCCCCAGCTTCCCAAGGAGTTTGATGGCTTAGACAGGATTTTTTATGACTGTTCATCAGTCATGGTTCATTCAGCTGAAATTCATGGAGAAGAGTTAGTGGGGAGCTGGGAGAAGCACGAATTGTTTCATTACTAAATTGACTAAGAAAACACTCTTATTTTTAATCCCTGAGCAGCAACGAAAGCAGACAGCTCCACCCAGCTCTCCCTGATACTTCCAGCTACTGCATGGCTCCAAATGCAGTTCTGGATGTTCCTGATCCACAGGAAAGCACATGGCACAGGAGAAGAGGAAAATCATCTTGACAAACGTTACACACCAACAAAACTTTGGCCACGACCTCCCTCCCCATATCCCTTCCACAGTGATTTGTAACAGTCCTGTATAAAACTGTCCATGTTCATTAATGCAGCACACAAATGCCCCCAGCCTGAGTTTGTCCAGCAGCCTGCCATGAGGTGGGAATGCTTGTTTGGAGGCAGGCTGGGATGCTGGTGGGTCATTCCTGAGGGAGCAGAGGGCTGAAGGCAACAAAACCCCTCAAGACTCCCTAGAAAAATAAAGGGGAGATCAAAGAGAAACTTGCACCTTTAAAAACAGAGAAGTGGAGGGGGAAAGGGGATGTGAATACCAAGGTGATTCTCTAATAAGGTGGCACATATCCCATCTTTCCTGCAATCCAGAGCTGGCCCCAGACACTTCTCCCCCTGCTCTCCTGGGCACAGACAGGGAGGCGGCAGCACTGGGAGGGGGGGCCGAAAGCATTTCAAGGGCTGTTGGGGTTTGGCCGGGACACTTTGCAGCCTCCTCTTGCCCTCCCACGAGCTCTCCCAGCCCTGGGCTTGGCTCTGATGCTCCCCAGGCATGGTGACTGTCCCTCTCCAGGGGAGGTGACTGGGCTCGTGGTGGGGTGAGAAGGGCAAGGTGCCCAGAGCAGACTCTGCTGGCTTTGCACAGGGTGGGCAGGAGTGCAAGGCTGGGTGCTGGCGTGCTGTGAGGCACCAGCACCCCGAGCAGCAGCGCTGGCACCACGAGCTCACAGAAACAGGCACCCTGCCACCCACAGGCTAGGAACACACCACCCTCTCCCACCGGCAGTCCCACCGGGGCTGCCTCTTATGACTCAATTTGCCCTTATCAGCCGATAACAAGTGCTAACGAGCCGGGGATTTTCAATCTGCCATTCATCAGCCCCCAGGTGCGAGCTCATTAGCTGTTCTCCAGCGGAGAACAAGGAGCTGCGGATACGCCTTATCAGCCCTCAAAGGTTGTTCCGCAGCACCTGATGGGAAGCACAAAGCTGCAAAGAGAAGAAAAGCTCCATCTCATTTGTCTTTACAACCACCGAAGTTCCTTTGCAAGTGCCTTTGTTTCAGGGTAGGCAGGAGAGGCTGATAATCCAGCAGCAGACACCGGGGATCCTGAAGGAGCTCCTCGTCCCTAACACCGTCCTTCATTCCTGGGTGTTTCCTACAGACCTTGTGGTTCCTTGGTGTTATCATGAGGTGTTTGCAACCCATCAAGAAGGGACCCTAAGCCAAGATCTGACAGAGAGCTTGTTGGTCCCCAGGAGATGTGTTCCTGGTGTGTCCATGGAATGACACAAGAGGCCAAGCCAGGCAGCCCAGGATGTTGCACTTTTGCTGGAGCACCAAAGTCCAAGTTGGTGAATCTCCATAGAAAAGGAGCTGTTGGGAAGGGGAGGGAGTGGAACACAGCAGGACACAAGAGGAAAAAATGCCAAATAGCCATTCCTGTCTCCATGAGAGTGACTTAGGCACCATCTCCACAAAGGGATGGGAAGGAGAAGAAAGTTCTCCCATGCCATGAAGGCCTCTTCACTTGGCTCCTGGGACTGGAAGCCCTTTGGAAAATGAGCACTGAGGCTTCAAGTGCATTTCTACCAAAAGTCCTCTGAACAGAGGTGAATGACCTCCCACAGAAGGGAGTGGAAGGGTTTAGACAAACAAAATAGGAGAATAAGGAAAAAAAATGGCCTGAGGAGCAAAGAGCCCGGGAGTTTAGGGCAAGCACAGAAACCACCGGGGTTTGGGATAAACCTTTTGCATGAGGGGGGAGAACTTGGCTCCATATCTGCACACCTGATTTCTGTACAAAGGGGTGGTGTCCCACAACCAGGGAATAGCAAAAATTCAAGTTTCTGCACCAAAATAAATGCCAGTGATCTGAAAGCACAGTTTGCATCCCCGTGTTTTCCAGATATAAGGGAAACCAGAGAGTCCTCTTTCTCCCCAGAGTAGTGAGAGGTGAGGAGGCAAAACAACTTTAAGTCATTTAAGGTAAAAATCACCTGCATTTCTGTTGCTGATACAAAATTTGGGGAAAAAAAATGGAAATCTGACTTTATGACAAATGATTGATGGGATATAGAAAGTGTAGGGAAAAAAAATGCAGTCTTTAAGTTAACCCAATTCAAACAGGGGCATTCTTTGCTTATGTTTTAAGGTATTCATCAATTAAATGGACACATAAAGATCCAAACTGACAGAATATCTCTAAGACACAACAGATATTGCCTGTGATAGTGCTTTGCATATTTGCCATATTACCTAAAAACAACTTAAAATGTAAAATCCGGATTAAGATAAATTGACACCAAAAGAATGGTTGCCATTGTCTCACTGCTCTTTGAAAACCAATCACCTCCACACAGCATTCTAAATATATATACAGTGACAACATTTATATATATATAATTTGAATATTTGTTATTCCTTAAAACAAATGGTGCCATAGGAAAAGGGACTCTAAATATCAGGGTTCCTCCTCTAAATAGAAGAGAAGTGGCCTGAGCAATCCTGAAGAAAACCAGAGACACATTTACCCCTTCTCAGCCCTCGGGCTTTCCTCAGAAAGCAAACCCTGGTCCTCGGCAAAGCTTCCCAGAGGGAAGCCAGGTTGGCATCCCCGAGGATACAGGGCTGGAGCCCACATCCACTCAGAAGGCCTGTGGGCAGCAGTCATTGCTGGGACCTGTTTGCAGTTGGGCACCACAGACACTCCCAGGGCACGTTTCCTGCTGGCTGGCACCAGAGCTCCCAGGCTGGCTGCCTCTCTCCCATGGGCCAGGAGCACTGGAATACCCTCCCGTGCAGTGGGAGGGCAAAACCAGCTCTTTTGGTAAAATTGGCAAGCAAACAGGAAAATAACATCCCCCCTGCAATCGATTCTGCAGCACCAACCCTGCCCAGGTAATGTGGAGTGACCCAACACGCCTTCCCCCGCTCCTCACCCTGCTTGCAGGTGGATTTCTCCAATTCCAGTTTTCCCTTTGGAAAAACCAATCCTTTTCATTATTCTCTGCCGACACACAGTTCCACGCAGCTGTTTGCCTGGAGTTCCCATGCAAAGGGACAATTCCTGGGGGTTTTAACACCCTCTCTTCCCTCACATCACCAGAGCTGGGCTGATTTATGCCTGTACCTCTGATGCTCAGCCAGAAATCACCCCCGGGTTGCTCCCAGTTTCTCCAAGGTGTAACTTCCACTGAGTAAAAGTATCATTTTGACAATAAATAAACACGCATTTTTACGCTGAGTGGCCTGGAAACGTTATTCCTCCCAAAGGAATAACTCCTTCGAGAAGCTCCTACTGCTTCATTTTTGGATGAGAACGGCTCAGAGCTACAGGAAGAGCTCCCGGGTCAAACCTGGAGCATGTTCAGCCCTACCTGGCAGGCCGAGGATGGTGAAGTAGGGCCGGCACTCGGTGAAGCCGGAGCTCTGCCTCACGCAGCTCCTCCACAGCCCCTGGTACTGGAAGACGGCGGTGACGGGGTTGTCGTACAGGTCCTGGGTGCTCCACGTGTCCGTGGCCGTGGCCACGATGGTCCCCGCGACGCCCAGCGAGGCCACCAGGAAGCCCATGACCTGGCACAGGGTGGTGGACATGGTGTGTCCCCGGGAGAGCAGCGAGATGCCCGGGGGAGCAGCAGCACTAATGGGAGCAGCCGGGTCCTCTCCCCGAGCCACGGGAACGCGGCCGCTCTTATCAGATGCTTTCCGTGGAGCGCTGTTTGCTCAAAGTGTTTTTGCAAGATAGTCCAGTTTCACTCTGGCTGGGGAGGTTTGTGCTGGCAGGGCTGCAGATATGAGCTTTTGTCCTTCAGAGTGCTTGTCCTTCCCCCTTGGAGCAGCCACGCTCTGCTGAGCATTGACTAACCCACTTGGGGCCTGTGCCGGCCCCAAACCGAAACCCTGCGCTGCCCCTCGGGCTCCTCCTGCTTTCCTGGCACAGGGAAGGACCCTGTGTTCCCAGGGGAATTCAGCCCAGGCCACCCTCTGCTTATGCCACCAGCCCAATACGGGGGATCTCGATACCCCAGCACCCACGGAGGTGTCCCCACAAGAGGCACGATGACAACCGGAGACACCAACGACGACAACCAGGGACACCAGTGGTGGCTCTGGGAGAGGGTGTGGGGCCACCAGCCCAGCCCAAGGACGTGGCTGCTCCCTGCTGGCCCCTGGAGCATCACTGAGGTTGTGTGGGATGCTGATCATGGCACAACCCAAGGCACCAAGAGGCCAGCAAAGCTCCTCCAGCCCAGCTCTCCACCCGCCCACATCCCAGCAGCCAACACGTGGCCCCACTGAAACCCTCGGGGGAGGAAGGAGAGCACAGGGACCATTGGGAAATGGCCTTTTTGGGGTGCTTGTCTATACTGACTGGAAGGATGGTCCTGGAAAAGGGGTGGGGATATAAAAACCAGGAAATTCATTTCCTCTGCACAGGGGAGAAGTGCTGGGTTTAGAGGAGCCATATAAACCCACTGTGCCACTGCCAGCAGAGCACAGTGAGCTACAAGGACCTT